AGGGCCACAGGAACAGTATCCAATCTTTTTAGGAGACACAGATGTCTCCGGAAACACTACAGCAACAGTATTACATCAGTTTGGTAAGTAACTATGAAGAACACAGCAGTCGGTGTATTTTAAATTTTATGTTTTCAGGGGACAATTATCGTTTACGTGTACAAGCTCAGGTGCAGCAAAACAAAATTGTTGGAGCTCAAGGGGGGATTGAAAGAAGGTATCTCTTAACCTCTGTTATGCTTCTCAATTTGCCCTAATAATTTCGGCATCTTACGTTTTACTCTTTTCACAGCCGTTGTTACTTCTAACAGTGTTTGAAATGTTTTGAAATCCAAGTAGTGCAAATTAATAGATGCTTACATGGTTGAGGCTCTCTGGGGAACTGTGCGGGAAAGCTAGGCTTTTCCGTATTCATTTCTTTATCACGCACTCAATGACAGGTGTACTACATTATCACTTGAAACCGAATAGGTTACAAGTTGAAGCAACTAAACACTATAAAAAAGCAATTCTACGCGAAAACTATGAGGATTTTCGAGCATTTATCTCGGGCTTCTTAAGACCTTAAACAATTCATATGTATTCAAATTGTAATGGTGTTAGGAATGTTATAAAGTGGAGTTCGAACGATAGAGTATTCCACGATGAGACATGAGAAATTTCATCTTTCTATTAATTTGCACTACTGATTAGAATAAAATATGAACCTTCTCTCTTGTTCAGCAACAGTTACGTTTTTTACAAGGCTCGTTGTTAACACAGCAGTTACCTTACTTTCAGAGGTCGCTTAACCACATTTGGTCTAACGTTTGCCAATACTGATCTCGTCAACGAGAGTGGTGTAATTGTCGGCCAGATGTTGCGGAAGTTGACGAACAGACTTGACGTTGGTGCTGAAATTCTGTATCAGTACGGAAAACAGATCCCAGGTGCATTTTGATTAGTCCTTTACTGTGATTTTCGTGCGAAGTTGCAGGCTTTGCGCCTGTCTTTTCGTAAATGAAAACCTTTCTTCCTTCACGCAGTTCTGATTACAATGTTGAAAAAGTGTTCGCTTTATTGGTTTGACCTCTTGTGATTGTAGCAGTACGCGTTCTTTTTGTTTGGAGTGTCATCCGTTTTTAACTCCATAAAGCAATAAGATTAGCTTTTGGTGGTCTTTCAAGAGCAACTTCAGAGGCAGTTCTGTGAGTTAGCTAGTGGTCATATATCCGAGTGGTTGGAGGGAGAATGCCTTTGAAAATTAGAAACTTCTGGGTGTTCCCGAACGCAGGTTTGATAAAAGGAATTGCTAAGAGTGTCCAGGCTCGCTGGCATGTAAATAGAGCGTGTATTTCTTATTCCCTGAGATGTTTCCGACGTTTTAACCGCATCATCACTCCCAGGTAGCCCATATAAAGCTTTGAAGCAACTTTAGCTTCCTGGATACTTTGGTTTCTCGTTTGAATTTTGCAGTGGAAAATAAGTGCACCGGGCCGCTGCATGCTGAGCTATTATTACACCACTTTTCGTGGCAAAATCGTACATGCTTCTTGAAAAGCCCAGAGTCTTCTTGCTAACCTTTCGATTTTCGATTTATTGTGCCGGAGATAGTGAGGTGAATCACTTTTTTGAATTTGGCCTGACGTTTCGACTATACTCTGAGTACGACCATCGAGTTGAAACATCAGGCCAAATTCAGAAAAGTGTTCCACCTAACAACATTTTGGCACAATCAGTCACAAAACTACAAACTTTGCAAAAATGACGATTTATAAAGGGAGACACGTGTTGGACACTACTTTTCGTTGTCAACTGCTTGTAGTTGCATTTTATGTTTATTCTTTTGATGATTTTGTGAGCATTCTTTTTAACTTTTCACTGACGTCCAAGTCACTTTATTGTTTCATTGTTCTCAGGCCAACAAGTATCTATGCTGTCATATGGAGCTCGCTATACAACACCGATATGGACGGCGGCAGCTACTCTTGGTTCTTCAGGTAAGGGTTGAGAATGACGCTCCTGTAAATAACTCATCCAAGGCGGCGTTCATACTTTGCGACCACGTCGCCGACGTCGAATCGATACTATCTAAAATTCTGAGTGACGTGATCGTAAGATACGAACACAGCTAAATAGTAATCAATATTAGTCTGGTATCGAACTTGTCAATTTAAGGTGCTCATTTCACGTATTATCACAAGCAAGCTGAGAATCTCGCATTCGGTGTAGAATTTGAGAGCAATTCCAATGTTGGAGAGGTAAATGATTATTATGTGGATTAAATAACTGCTGTTGCAATTTCTTTCGACTTTGACTGCAATTTTTCATTTTTAGGCA